CGAGGTACACACACCACACATCTGTCAATGTCAAGTTAAATGCAACCTAAAAGAGTGGACACGCTGAAAATTGGTGTTATCAACGACACGACTTTTTATTTTAAAACCAACCTAGATTCGAAGTCGTACAATATTTGATTGTCAACTAGATGCCACATTATACAAAACATTTTAGTTCACTTTATACAGCTTGATTGGAACTCCATTTAAGTCAATGCTGGTGGCGATACTTTAGCTCTTGGCTATCGATATTTAAAATTTTTAATACATTCTTTCGTCACGAAACTGATGTAAATATCATTGCTGACTGACTGGGGCTATTTTGTCGAAATAGCACCATTCTTTAACCAAGTTGCACAATTTTCAGTTGATCGATGCGTTCTTTGTACTACTAATGACAGTAATACTTATTAATTAACTTTACTGGATTCGCTAATGGTTGTCGAAGTAAATCGAGTTAATTTAATTTGCTGGATACAGTTGTTCCGGTATTTTCACCCGGCAGTTATATCATAAAACAATGTGAAATCATTTTGTAGTTTAGTTCTAATTTGTACTTTGCACGCACTTTTCCTAATTAAGTAGATACACAGTTCGAATGCCAGTTCTAAGTAAGTATTTAGCCTGGCAATTAGAAGTTCGTTGTTTTCATATTTACCAGAGTCATCAGTTATCTAACAGTCTATTAGACTAGAGGAAGTAAACAGTGCAACTGCAGAATTCACCCATTACCATTCGTTGCTACAACAAGGGCAAGGCGTTTGGTCAGGAAAGTTCCGAAGCAGGATATGATCAGATAGTACTCAGTTGTAATTAATCTGTGGTGATGTGATTGATTACGTATCACTTATATAATAATAGCTTGTATTTCTAGTGAAAGTGTACAATGCACAAAATGAGTAAATTTTCCGAAGAGATAGTTTCCCGACCAATACACATACAGAAAAATACAGAAATTTGGCAACATTTCGTTTCGAAAGATAAACACCAGCTTTTTCTTATTAACATCGTATGACCTTTACGTTTTATTTAGCACGTGTGTTTCAGACATTAAATTATTTTCCAAGCTATCGACATCGTTTGGGCGCGTAACTACTGCGAACCGTTTTGGTTTCCCAACGTGGATGTGTGTACGTTCGGATATGTGAGGGAACAATGAGGAACGCGTTTTGAAAAAGGCATGGTTCTTATAACCACGACGATGGTATTTTCATTCGATTCGAAAGTGGTTTCAGATCCGGTTTAACTGCGATCTTCTGCAGTACCAGACGACTCACTCCCGAATTCGAAGTGAAAACGGTTTTTCTTTCAACTTTCACTGCCTTGGCGAAAATTCTGTCTGCGTTCGGGAAATATTAGTTTGTGACATTACTGTTGCTAGAAATTTTTGATTATAAATATCAGATTACTGATTAAAGCTAAAACTTACTTTAATGTATCCTTGTACAGTAATGCATTCAATTTTATAATACATAAATATTTAGTACTTATGTTATAGAAAAACTAAAACAATGATCCGTGTGTACTTTAAAGATGGGAAGGTGTAAAACGAATTTCAAATAAAAAAAGATTTTATAACTAGTACGGTTGTTGCACTTTTAAAATTAATGTTTTTAAAGAACCGATTAGAGAGGTATTGAGGTAAACTGGGGAATGTATACATGATGTGGAATGTACTCGTGGGGTAAACCGGCTTAACCGACATCATAACAAATGAGAGGCCATAATAATATGCGCATGTGTACAAAAACATGATGCTTAAAACAACCACGCATAATTACGATGACTTTTGCCCATTAATTATAATTTCAGTAGGTAATTCAATAGGTATATTCAACAATTCATAACACTATGAATCACTTAAAAAGTGCTTAAAAACAACAGTGTCTCGAAAATCAGTTTTTTGTTATGTTTCACAAGAATCAGTCCAATAGTTTCGTAAATTATTTGCCTGATGAAATGTCAACACAGACGGCAAACAAACGGAAACAGGAGACCTATTTTTTTATACTCATTAAACCAGTGTTGATCGTCTCTGCGAAAATTTTGTAGATTTAACATAAATTTGCCGCCTACTTTCCGAGCATAAGCTAAGGAAGTATAGTAATCGAATCCATCGTTTCTGGTTGGGTTTTTTGTGTGATTGGTGGATGATTCGATATTTGTGATTGGGTAATAAATGACATTATTATAAATGTCAAAGAATGAAGATAGTTTTCTGTTATTTAAATTCAACTGATCTCCCTACACGTTGCTACGATGTGGAAATCCAATGACATATAAGAAAATCATGAATGAGGTTTCTACACCTTACTTCGACCAACGGAATCGGAAGACCTACTTTTTCATTATCTAAGATCTAAGAAACGTCGAAAAAACATGAAATTAGTCATTCGTTAAATGAAAGCTTGTACAATACTTTAGCCTATGTTTGGGAGGTGAAAATGATGTTTAAAAACTTTAAAAAATTTATCATAATCAGTGATTTTTGTGAATGATTTTATGCTAATTACACTTTTGACGATTTGTAAGCGCTAAATACCGGGTGATTCAACTTAAAAGAACCATTTGCCTCTTTTTAATGGGCACCCCAATCTACATTTTCCGCTTACTTCTTGATTAAAAATCGAATTATAAAAATGTCACGAATTTTGCTTAATTTTCATGACCCATAGAGTACCAAAAAATAGGTTCTCCGCTTCCGTTTGACTGTCTGTCTGACTGTTTGCCGTCTGTTCAAATTTTTATTAGACAGTATCTTCGAAACAACCGGACCGACTGTTATCAAATTTTAAATGTATGTGTAGATAGTAAAATGCTAACCAAAATTTGCCCCATCAACCAACTGGTGATATTCTCTTAAAATTTTTCGTAGTAAGTAGGACTTGTTGTTTATGAATCCGTCTTGAGATTTTTTCCGAGGCATCCAAATTTTCGCAAAAAATGGAAGTTGTACGGAGTTCGTGCAAGCTTATTCGTTAACTTATCGCGTAAAGTGTTTGTCTTCGAATTTGTAACGCGAAAATCGAGCACGTTCGAATGTGGCAAGGGTCTTTTTTTGTTTCTTACACTGTTACTGCTACATATTTTATTATCTCATTTTAAGAACAGCACACTCCAGTGTTTTCTTATCAATATTATACTGCACATGTCGGAATTGCCATCCGTGTTGAGTTAATATTGATCGTTGATCGAAACCTTTTCGAATCGGAAAACTCGCTAGTCTTGCCCTTTATCAATGCATTCATATTGTTACGAAATAAACCCATACGTCGCCCCGGTACGACGCCTATCGGTTCTAAGAATGTACGTCTCCGATGACTCATTGTCAGTAACGGCAGCTGGAGAAGAGTTTGGAAGCGGAAGTCGCGAATGGGTGCTCCAGAGAAGTCTAGAAGCGATGACGTAGACGTTTCGAGAAGAACCGCGTGCTGTTTAAATGGGAACCACCGTCGGGAGTAGTTTGTGTAGTCCAGAAAACGAGAGCTGAATTCACTTAACAAGTCGAGCTCAACGAGTGTCGAGACAACCCAATGAATGTCGCGCCGAAATTATTTTGTACATAGTCGCTCTGCAATTAGTCGTGTAAATCCGAGTTATTAAGAAATAAATTGTTGAGTTTTACCCACGCCGATTTTATTCGCTGGTTCAACGTAACAATATTTTTAGAGCAATTGTTAATCTGTTTCCTAACATGTGTGAAGCACAAGCACACTCCAGATCAAATATAAAGAAGTGTAACAGTGTGTTTTCGTAACATAATGCGTTAGAATCATAGGCAGAGGCGGAGTATGGCCAATTGTTAATAATTAATTATTATGATACATTAATGAATTCAAAAGAACAAGGCCTATACGAATGTGTAAAAACATATAGTGTCATTAAAAAAAAGTTAAATGTCGTAGACAAACACAAAAAGTTTATAGAGTGTCAAAACACACTTATAGGATGTGGTTCCGCTTCTTATACTGTTACTGCTATTATCTATATTTGTTTTAATGTATAGAATTAAAAAATAAAATAAAAATTTACAATTTTTTTTTATTTTTCAAAGAAGTAGGATTTGTTGGAGTCGCGACCTTGCCGCATTTGGTGAGGGTTAAGTTGAAGTTTATGCAGCTATGCGTGAATGAACACTAGGTACGTTAACAATTAGTATTTTCTCATTGTTTTCTTCCATAATAATTGTAATATTATTACTAGTAATGAAAAGTAATGTTTACTAAAAGTCAAAAACAGTCTTTATAGTTTACCTATTTTCAGTTCCATTTTAACTGGCATTAAAGAACAAATGACACTCTTACCAAAATGTTTGCCATTTGAATATGTACGTTGCACAGACTTCTAATGTTTAAGTTTAAGCTTAACGAAAACTTTAATTTGCTTAGATTTGTTATTTGATAAAACAGATTTTAACTTAAAATGTTTTTTTTTGTTATGAAAATTTTAATCTTTACTAAGATAGCAGTGGCCTAAAGACTGATTCGTGTGAAATGCCATAGCATAGGAAATACCGGATATAAATACTACAGTGAAAGTAAAAAGCGAGAAGTTGTTAAATGTTATATACGTAATAGACAATCTACAGAACTAATACCATCTTTTTGAAAATGCACTAGAATATTATCAGTACAAATTATAAAATGTTACTTTAAATACAAGTTGGTATGGTAAAAATGGATTTGTTTCCATAAACAATGAGACAGAAATAATAAATAAAAACCGTATCTCTGAAAATATTAGACATCGAAAAAAGTTTTAAAACGCTAGTGAAACTTTTTCAATAATTAACGATTCAAATTGAGTGTGAGTTTAAATGCAACACACTTATTAAGAATGAAAACAAACATATGCATCCTACCGGAGAGAAAGTAACGAAATCGTGAAAAGTGGAATTTTGCTTCAAATCACAATAAGCCGGTTTAAATGTCAGACTATAAATATGTACTGTTTATAACAACTGCTTTCAGCAAATCTAACTAGTAACTATCTTTTTGCAGGTAACCATGGCGGGAGACTTCATTTTAGCAGTCGCTTCAATTATGATCGCTAGGTTAAGGAACAATGACGTCACTCTAGTTCTTAGTCAAGTAAGTAGAAATTGTTATGTTCACATTCAGGAAGACACAGTCTATCGCCTCAGGTTGTCACCGACTTAGTTCAGGGAGAGTTCATGCAACTCGGATCTAAAGAAACCGAAAACGAAAGATTTGCTCATTATTTAACGAAAACATACAGGAAAACTGCTTCTTTGATAGCTAATTCTGTAAAATCTGTACGTATTTTACTGGGTATGTAATTTGAACTAACCTGACAGGCTGTTTTAAGGTTACAATGTTAGCGGGAGCTGATGAACAACTAGCCGACGTTTCGTACCAATATGGACGTAATTTAGGTTTAGCTTTCCAATTAGTTGACGATCTTCTGGATTTCGTTTCAAGTTCAGCGGCTATGGGTAAACCCACTGCCGCGGATTTGAAATTAGGTTTAGCTACAGCGCCTGTTTTGTTTGCATGTGAAAAGGTATGTACCACATTTTAAAATTAGCCCTGCTGTAATTTTAATGAGCCGTGATTTCAGTATCCTGAATTGAACCCAATGATTATGAGGCGGTTTCAAGAGCCAGGAGATGTGGAAAGAGCTTTTGATCTGGTTCACAAATCTCGAGGACTAGAACAGACTCAATATTTGGCCAAGCAGCACTGTCAAGAAGCTGTCAGACTTGCTAACCTCTTGGAGGAAAGTCCATACCAAAAAGGATTAATAGTTGCGGCAGATTATGTGCTGAACCGCATGAAATAGCACAGGACGTCGATTCTGGCGTCGAGTAGATATTCTAGTTATGAAATTGACAATAGATGACACTAGTTATGTGGTATGATTATAATGTTGTATATTTTTATATTTGTAATGGTCACGACACAGTCCTTTATTTATAAACATCGGCATTCTTGGACCAGTGTTTTGTTAAATACTTTGATATTATTCTTTTTTATTAGTTAGTTTTAGTGAATGTGTGTGTGTTTTAAGCGATTTCTTGTAAAGTAACTGTATGTACCAAATATTGAATGCTGATGAAAGTCACTATTGTTATTCAGTCATATTTAGGATAAGAGTGTTTGACAATGGTATAACGCTTACTGGTAGGATTTTTATTTATTCAGCATAACTACACCTGATTTATTTGTTTTCGTACTTTTAGAAAATTCAGAAATAGATCAGTGTGGTGTGTGCACTGTTACAATTAAACAAGATCAGTGACAAATAGTAACAACAGTAGGTGCGCTCAATAGATTTGATTATGTTAAATGTGTATATAGTTTTAAAAGTATTAAAAATATTTATAATAAAATATTTTAGAAAATAGTTAATCTTTTCTTTTGTTGTTGATGAATCTGATGTATATAAGATTGATGTTTTTTAATAGATGTAGAATTGATTAATAATTATCTGCAACTTTTTCACGAAAAGTGTATGTAAATAATTTTGTTACAAATATTATGTAAAATATATGTATATTTTGATTTATTTACATGTAAAAAGGTATTAATAAAGTGAACATCTGGTGGGTTTAATGTGGCAGTTAATTATGAGGATACGTAATTGCTTCGAAACTTACAATATATTTCATAAATTTACGTCAAACCTAGACATATTTATTGTTGAACGGGGATTATTTAAGTAAGTAATTAAGTTTTAACGCAGCTTCGAATATTCTTGATGACTTGATGACGGAGAGACAGAAGAAACTTACCAAAAAATCAAACTCGGTACAAACCACCGTCGTGTTTCGCTAAGCACTCAAAAAAGGCTGGAACTAAAGACTACGACTTCCATTTACCAGGTGGGTGTTCTGACCACTATACTATCCGGCGTCGATATTGCCTCCTTTCTATAATTATATCGTGTTGCCATAAATTCAAAATATCAATTTTTAGCCCAAATTGAAGTAGGTATGCGAAAATTTTCAAATAATTTACACTATACCTAATTCCGCTCTGAAACCGTAGGACAGCCTGCAATAGCACTTAATTTGTCAGGGTTGTAGAGGAACCTCATCTTATCATGTGTTTCCGAAGGGTAATAACCATAGGCATATTTTGTCTGACAACACTTAAAAGGAAACACTCAATAACATCATTAAGTTGTATTTCTTTCGTCGCCAATAGTTTTTTCACACTTTGCCTAGTTTTTAGCGCCTTGGAACGATATTAAAATACATTTTAGACCACAGCCCTTGTCATCTTCTGACGAGCTAATAAATTTTCCCACCACAAAAACCTTTTTTTACTTAGTAGATGAGCATGTAGAATTGGACTGTAATACCTATAGGAAAAATATAATACCTTGCTGCTCATTTTGGTTTTGTTGGTTGCCTGCGTTATTGCCCAAGCCCAAGAACCACGACAAGAACCAGTCATGGACAGTTTATCCCTTTGACTCTGCATTTCATGGAGGCTAGAGAGTTACTAAGTACATAATATACATTAGCTGCAGTGTGAAGTGTTCTCATGATGATAAGAAATTTGTTTTATAAAAGCACCTGACGAATAAGCTGAATAGTTCCTTCGTGAACATTTTTATGTCTTCAGTAGTCTGGCAGTGACGAAGTACAGCTATTTTTATTTGGATCTGTTTAAATTTCTAGTAATTTTTGTCGTATTACGTTATCTTAGACTATTATGCAGACAGTTATTACGTTATTACGTAGTGGTTATTATTTTTTTTGTTCAGTTCTTCTATAGTTCTTAACAAGTATAAGATATTGGAGATCATATTCTGGTAAAAAATGGCAATCAACTGTCGACAAGTTTTGCAACTTACAACATTCACTCGCATAAGTGCAAAAAAGAAAGAAGATTATATTATCAATGCACTTCGTTTTTTATACATACGTATAATTAGGCCTAAATATGAAGTAAAAAAATGCGATGGCAACACTTTTGCGCCCTAGGGTTTACAACCAGTTATTTTACGATCAGAGCTGTAAACAACAGGTTTACGATCACTTTCAATGGCTTAAAATAAAAAAAAATCAGTTCCGAAAGTAATGATTTTTTACATTTAGAGTCTAATAATGGAAGAACAAAAACCCATTATTATTTAAAGGATCACAATTCTTGATAGAAAAAATTTACAGACTTTAGCGTTAAACAGTGTTAAACTACTAAAAATACGTTTGATTCCTTATACTGATAGTGTATAGAATTTATAAAGTAAAACATCGTTTCTAAATATTTTTATCCAGTTGATAACCAAATTAACAAATAATTTTAACTGAATTAGCAACACCGGCAAGTGGTTCCCTTTATTTCATGCTTGGTTTATCATAATTGCTGTAGATTTCACCACAAATTCCATAATTTTTGCAATTAATGGAAAATATGAAATCCTTCATTAAGACAATTGTTCAAAAAAAAAAACTTTCATTCATCCAGAAAATCTACTAATCACATTAATTTGGACGGTTGTTGTTTTCCATAGCAATTCGGTATGAAAGCAATCACACTCATTGCTTATAAATTCTTGTCTGTGAATGAAGAAACATTAACAAACAATGCAGCCCCAAGCATTTGTAAAGTCTGGAATAAATTCGAAAATGATGAAAACGCCCGGCAAAGTCATTGTCTGGTGTGGGTTTGTAAAGGCTTAATAAATGGATATTTTTAACAACAATCTGGAAATAGTCACTTGGACTTTTTGAAAAATTATTTAGTTTCTGCTTTGGCAACTGTTATATTCAGCACTATGTATTTTTTTTTTCCAATATATAAATTAGACGAAGCGAACTTGCGAATCTGTAGGGTGTCTATTCAGATCTCTGGGCTAAACATATTTGACTTTCTTTTCGTATCAAAGTAGATCCTGGGATACTGATGTACAGTGGCGGCTGGTGGGTCAAAATTTCGGGTCGGCCAAATATTTTGAGTCTACACCTTGGTGTTATATATTTTCGTAATGTATGGCTGCTACTCATTAACCACTGACATTTTACGTGCCAGGATGTACAAAACATCTCAAATGTTTCGACCTGTTAAAATAATTTTTTATAGGAAATTGACAATGTCAGTTTGATTCCAAATACTATTAATCCTTAATTCTACTTGTTCTGCTTTATCATTAATTGAGAACCACCGAAAACATTATTTTTACTGAGTTCCGCGTCGACCGGCGGCTATACGGCTTGCCGACCCCGGACATCCACAATTAAATAATAATAATTAAATAATGACATGCAGTTAAAAAATATAAAAAAAAAGTAATAATAAAAGTACCAACTGTTAACTATCTTCATTTACATTAATTTTTTTTTTAATGTATATGACAAATTGTCAAATAAATTAATTGAATAATTGAAAAATTAAAATGATTTAAAACTTTAAATTCGTTTCTGAAATATCTGAAAACGCTTAGATGCTAAAAATACAGAAAAAGCGCATTTATGTTGTAGCTAAGTTATGTACGAAAAATAAAATTTTAGATAATTTAATGTAATTTTTTTCGTTTATTATTCATACACAGGAAAATGTATTAAATCGACAATTATTATTAAAAAAAAAATAGTATGCACTGAAGAACATCGAAGCCGTTATTGTTTTGTAATTTGGTTAGCTATCTTAAATATTAAGCGTTTTAAAAACTAAATTCGCGTTGCTGGGTACGGCGAAGGAGGATTTCGCCGGACCTGGCACAACATACGTTCCGCCAGATCTTTGTCTACTACAGTGTACTAGACAAAGAGAACGATGAAACCGTAAGCTGCTACGAAGTCGAAACATCGAGCATAATACATTCCTGGATACGGCGTGCCGAAATCTCGCCGGCAAAGCGTGTTTATCAGCATTTAAAATTAGCAACAAATGCTTTATTTTGTACCTACAATATAATAAAATATATTTTTAATATATATGATCTATCCTAATGTACATTCAAACTTTATTTCTTTTTTTATTTTCTAATTTCAACGCTTACTAAGTATTTTAAAATGACTGGTACGGCGTGGCCGACCCTGCCGCCCCTGACCAGCCGCCCCTGCTGATGTACCTACAATAATGTACAGAAAAAGTTTTTCTTTTAGGGCATTATAAAGTTGTTAATAATTTTGAGCAGTTTAATCAATTATCAGAATTGTGTGATATTCCCAAAGTAAAATTTTAGAACCCATGGTCCGGCTTTGAGAAAAGGCCAGAAGCGGCTTTCCGAAGTATCTTGGAGACCAGCGTGATAGTTTTAAAAGAAACTGCTAACGGAAGTGAATACGAATTACGAAAACAAGAAAATTATCGTTGTATGTTATATTTATTTGTGTGGTGTAGTGTTATCAATAAAATATCATTCAGTTTTGACCCACGCCAATTTTAATCCCCGTAAAACGTAACACTGGTGTCAGAAGTAAAATTGAAGATTCATAATAACTCGTTTTGCCAAGATTTACGGGCAGCTTGGAAAAGAATTCTGAAGGTTTATGCTTTTGAAGACCAAAGAGACTAAACTACAGCAGAAGATAGATAAGCAAAAAGATATAATCATCAACCCAACTGAAAAATTCCAAAACCAAGTGGAAACAAATAAAAATGAGATGGTAGAAACTAAAGATCAAATGAAGGGCATACAATGAAACAACAGTGCCATTTAAATTGTTCAACCCCACGATTCTGGATTTTACTATCCATGGTTCTTGGATTATTGCTGCAGTGTTCTGCATCTTGTCTAGGTGACGACACAAGACAGTCGTCGCTGCGGGACAATGCTGCAGGTTAATTTGGATGAAATTTATCTGCTGCAGCACCATCTCTGTAACCAAAAATCTCATGCTTATCTTAGGAGACACGAAGTTTATGTCTCAGGCGGACCCGCCGCCACTGGTAGAGGCTTCACCCCCTAGGGCTTCTGCCTCTTCCATAGGGGTCTACCCTTCCTGAGTCGGCGTCTCGTTCTCCTTAAGTTTCAGGTTGAAAGAAGACAGCATATAGTTGATCCTGCCCTCTCTATCTCATTATTTTGGCATCATCTATCCCAAGACCAAACACAAAGAGCTTGCCTGGAGAGGCAGACTCGTGATGGAAAAGAACCCATTTTTTAACGCGAACCCATTGGTTCTGACCCTCCAGGCGGCGAAGTACCACCTCTACATCCACTGTTGGTCTCGGTATCCACAGGGTCGCCCTCACTAGCCTTGGTAGCTTAGCCAAGGGGACCACGTTAGGTTGTGCGCCTTCCCAGAAGGGTGTTAGAGAGCCCACTGTTTGTGTTAGCCATTCCAGAGACATCTCGTCTTCACAGGTTATCCTTAGGATTTCCCCTGTGTACTTGATGCCCCTGAAAGTGGTTGCTTGTCTTCCCGATGCCAGGCACTGTTATGCCATACCGAACGAACAAGCCACTACGGTTACAAAGATATTGACTGACAATTGGATCTGCAGATTTGGAGTCCCAATGGATTTCATCGTTATACGGACGACACAGATTATACCATTACATCTCTTGTCATATAGGAGGGTAGAACAGTTAAATCATACCATGGAAGAATATCGTTCGAAGGTGGTGGCTGAGCACCAGAAAGATTGGGATGCACACCTTCCGCTGTTCCTGGTGGCTTATCGGTCAGCAGTCATTACGGGTCAGACATCGGCACCATAGTTTTCCAGTGAAGAATCAAAGGAGGTCAGAGATTATGTCGATGCCTTAAAGGAGAAGATACTAAGCGTTTACAAAATGGTGCACCCTAAGTAGGATGGCGAGTGACAGAATGAAAACACGCTACGACTTTAAGAGGAATCCCTACGTTTGGCGTATGGGAGTTTCAATATTATCATATTTTTTAAGTATTTTTGTGATTTTTTTTATCACATATCTTTAAAAATCAATATTTCAGTTATTTATGGAAATTTCGGAATCCGGTTTTTACTACTGTTTTTAATTTACAAAACTCTAGACGTTACCGAATAAAAATTGTCGACTTTTTTCGTTTGGAAATGAGGTAGGTGTAGTCAAAGCGATTCGTGTCGAAAAAAATAATGAAAGAGCGGAAAAATCTATTTTAAGGAAAAGTAGTTTGAGAAAATGTAACTTCTCAAAACAGAGGGTGCAGAAAAAGACGTTCACTTGTATAAAACAAACTTATAATAAACAGTATAATTTTGAAAGATAATTGCAAAACTGTTAATCATGTTAAAGAAACCATACTGTTAAGTGCTTACCGGAAAAAAATCCATAGTTTCCCCATTAACAGAAATCATCTCCTTCTAGTCTCTTATGATGTAGTTGGTGGTTTTCGTTCATATAAAATTCATGACGATTAACAAAGAAGAAAGTGGTTTTAATTTACACTGACTTTCCTACATTTTTTTTTCCGGAATTTCCGGTTATGTGTCCTCAGAATATAAAGTGGACTGAACAATTACAGAAACAACAGGAGGTCCATGACTGTATCATTAACGAACCATCGCCCGTCGTCTACTGTCTGTCGGCGTTTTATTAAACTACGAAACTACAGTAAAAGTTCTAGTTAAACACTAACCAAAATTTGCTTGTACATCCCTACAAACAATTTGATGACGTTTTATCAAAATTTAGCTATGTAAATCTTTTTTAAAGTAGAAAATATAAAATGATTGTGATGTATTAACACCCACACTCGTATTTTTTGAAACACGAAAAAGATATTTTTAAAATTCTTACAAAATACGAAATCGACTGTGGTATTTATTTATTCGTTTAAAACAAACATTATGCGTCGACACTTGCCATTCATCAATGCACGTATCTTTTCACAACTTGTCATAGAACTATATTCTTTGAAATTTAGCACATACGTCAAGATATCAATACCTACCTCAGAATTTAGCCAAATAAATAAAAGCTATTTAAAATGTATCAAACAACATCCGTTTTTTCTGCCTTTGAACATTTCTGAAAATTCTCCTTGTAGTTTTCTCCAGTTTTGCTGTGCTATAACTTTGTATACCATATAAATACTTATAATATTGTTACGCCCCGGTACGACACCAATGGGCTTTCTAGTATGTGCGGCGATGATGGGTGACTCATCGTCGGTGACGGCGGCCGGACGGCGTTCGCTTAAGAAAAGCCTGGAAGCGAAAGTCGCGATGGATGCTCCAGAACAAGCCTAGAAGCGGTGACGGAGACCTTTCGAGAAGGACCGCGCGGCTGTTTAAAAGGGAATCACCGTCGGGAGCAGTCAGTGAAGTCCAGATAATGTACATCCTGTACATAATCACTGCATATAGTCGTGTAGTTTCGTATTACTGCGAAATAAATTGCTGAGTTTTACCCACACCGATTTTTAAATACCCGTTCAACTTAATAATATAATAAGTTATAGTATTCTGCCAACGATATTTTTGCGAAAGTTAATAAATTCTCAAACAATAATAGTACTACCTAAATAAATGAAATTTTTGCTTGAGAGAAAGAGAATTTAGTGTTCTCTTTTGTTGCACTAGAAACTGCTTAGTCTTTTAACCTCGGTACCTAACTAAAACACCACTAAAAAACCAAGTCCTACAATAACAATATGTTGACTAAATCCATAAAATGAAAGTAGATGGATTTTCCTAATGTTCCTCAGTAATAGTCATCACATTTTGAACCTCACGTTTGTTGGACACACCTGCAATGTTACGTAAATGTGTGCAAGATTGTCGACAAACAACTCAGAGCTTACACATTTCAGACACAAAGAATCAGACCAACGAGTCTACGTTGTGGGTGGGTATGTATTAAAGCAACAAAAATAGCGACATCAATCATTTAAATTTATTTCGTTGTATGTTCGCTATCATTTTTAATCTTTAAGAGGACTTCGTGCTCGATCAGTCCTATATCTATAAACGAAAAAACGTTCCCATAATTCATAACGATGAGTAAACATCCGTGGTTTACCTGCCATATCTAATTTACTAGTAATTTATTGCAAACTATTTTTACTTATCCGTCCGATTACAATCGTCAGTCCTCACGAACAGTTCCAATATTTGAATGACTGTCTGCTAGGGGTTGGGGTTGGTATCCGCCACATGAATTCCAGGGGTCTGGAAATCGGTGCCCGTCACGAATAGATCGTATTCTACATTTCATCTTCCCGAAGCGGAATTCCTTTGTTACCTTCATTAACAATTTTGCGACGACAGAGCACGCTGATTTCACGCACAGCAATATCGTAATTGAACTCCGTTTCCAGTCGAGCCTAGAAGAAATTATTAAGTATGTTAGTCGATAGTGCAACACTGAACAGGAAAGCTTTGGGGGAAAGAATTTATAGGGAAGGTGTAGAAATATGGAAGAGAAAACAAGAGTTGGCAAGATTAAAGAAACTGAAGGAGCAGCAAGAGGTAAATAAACATCATTTCTAGTGCACAAATAGATCCGCACTTTGTAGATTCGGGATATGCTGGAAAAGTATTATCCGTTTGGGCATGCCAGGGATGTAAAACCGAGGGGATTGAGGAATTTACGATTGGAAGGGCTCTTTCCCAACAAAGATTATATGAATGTAGGCTAACTTGGGTTAGGTCGGGGCGGCGTATTATGTGTAGAAAATTAAAAGTTTATTTTTGATGATTCAAGTTGTTTATTATTGTACATATGTTTATAACATACTAAGAGTATTTTTTATCCTACTTTTTTGTAATTCAAACCGTTACCTTGCGCTGTTGTGCATATTAAGCTTTCTTTGAAAGCTGGATATCGTTTTCACTAGGTTATCAAACCCTGTTATTTTAAATCGTCAATGGATCACGAAATAGCCATTATTTTTAAGGGTTTCTATTCATATATACTACCTTAATATAATAAATCGTGGGCTAAATTGTTTTAGGAGTGTTCGAAAAATTTAAGACGTTAGACTAAAGAATAATAGATATAACAAGACCGATTCACTGTTAAAGTAAGAAACAACTAGGTATCATTAGTAAATGCAAATACACCGAATGTCCATAAGTCAACATATTCACTGTTCTACTTAAAATTTGAGGAACTTTTTACTGTTAAACTGATACCACGAAACATTAGTCTCGCGACAAAATAAAAGACTCGGAGATCTAAATACATATATTGGGTGTTCCATAAATTAAGCTGATTTTATTTGGCTTTACGTGTATCAGTTAAAAATAACGTTTCCTATTTTATTTTATAATATTTGAACGAAAAGTAATCGAAATCAGTTAATTTTGCGAAATTCTTGACACAAACTCTCTAAAGTTGACGTATTCAGTACTGTTCCTGAAATTTGGAATTTTTAATTTCGTAACGCACAACTCATAGAAAAAAACAAACAAGTTTTCTTCTTCTTTCAGTCTTTAAACTATGTGTTAGATAAGTAATGTTTAAAAATTCTAGATCTACTACTTTGAGATTGCACAAGTAACAGACACACTGTGATATACTTCTTTATTTGTGGAGATCACATTCTAGTCCTATTTGTAAGTTTACATATGAGTTTTCTTAAAATATCGCAATTTCAAACTTGTCTAAGAAAGTATATAACGGATTTTTTTGAAATTCTGCAAGTGTACTTACATCGGTTTTAATGAATATAGAACCAAAATTTGTTTATTTTTTTTACCTTCTAAAAGTGAATAAATTTGTATTTATATGTTCTGAGAGGTACGCTACTGCGTTACTAACCATGTTAAGAATGGTGGATATCATTGTAGTAAAATTCTGTTAGACTGTATCGTTATAATAATTATGTTGCTTTATACACAACAAATTTAGTATAACCTAAAAGGTATAATTTGTCTAATTCTAAGGCCTTCTAGATTTACTAAAAACCAAAGTGCTACTTTACTCTTCTATTAAGAAAAAAATTGGCACCGTAACGATATTTAGTAAAGATGAAGTTAAATTATAGGCGCTTTTGGTTTTTTCATAAAAAAAAAAATAAGTTTTCGATATCTGAGTACAAAAAATTGGTCTAAAGAGTTTAGACAGTACTTCCCTCGCTGTCGGAAACTTGACGACTGCATGGCTATTGTGTTTTTTTGTAGTGGGAATTTAAAAAAAATTGCGATGACGTCATCAACATTTTTGCAAGGACACGTATATCAGTTGGGATAGATGTAGTGTAATACTAAGAATAAAATTATTGTATTCCCAAATTTTCGGGAAAATGAATTGGGTCGTTTTGAATATTGATTTTTTATAATCAATAAAATAACGAAACAATTTACTCACGTATACGGCAACTGAAAATCGTTTATGTATAAAAAAAGAGAAACTGTAAACAAAACGACCATCGGTTTTATTGCTTCGACTTCCGCTTATTATATAAAACATTGGGTTTTATTTTAATTCTTGACGGTGAAATTCACAATTGGTTGATTATAAACATGTCTATTTCACATTCGCGGAACCAAGTGATCGCATAAAACAAATGCAGGTCTGTAATGTTAAAGTCGATGTAAATAAGCGATGCTACCCTTATGTTTCAACCGAGTTTTTCCTTTAACAAATTTTGTGTCTACCAAATTGGGTTGGTTGGGGTGTAATACTAATAATAAGTGTTGCCTTTAATTTAATCAATAAAATAAATTGACTTCATTAATTTTTTTGAACCACCTCTTAAGAAAATCTAAAAAATATGAATGGAATGATAAATCACAAGTACAAACTCATCATATTTTTTGCATTTTAGATAGGATTTATTCAGCAAAATTTAAGGGTGACGTCATCAATTTTTTTAGGAGGGATGAACAAATACATTTTGAACAAAAGTTTACCATGCTTATAATAACATTAAAATATTCCCAAGATTTCAAAGCATTCGGTTTTATAATTCCTGATTAAATCGATAAAATAAATTCACGCCTTCATTAATTTTTTTGAGTCACCCTGCATATGCAAATCCAAAAATATGAATGGAATGATAAATCACAAGTACAAACTCATCATATTTTGTACATTTTAGATACGATTTATTCGGCAAACTTTTGAGCTGACGTCATCAGTTTTTTGTAGAAGATAACCAAATATATTTTGACTAAAAATTTATTATGCTCTTTATAACCTTAAAACATCTGCAAGATTTCAAAGCATTCGGTTTTGTAGTTCCTGATTAAATCAATAAAATTAATTTACGCATTCATTAATTTTTTTGAGTCACCCTGTATATGCAAATCGAAAAAATTTGAATGGAATGATAAATCACAAGAAGAGACTCACCATATTTTGTACATTTTAGATAGGATTTATTCAGCAAAATTTTGTGGTGACGTCATAAATTTTTTAGGGGGGACGACCAAATACATTTTGATCAAAAATTTACCATGCTTATGATAATTTTAAAATATCTTCAAGATTTCGAAGCATTCGGTTTTGTAGTTCCTGAGTAAATCAGTAAAATAAATTTACGCTTTCATTTATTTTCTTGAATCACCCTGTATATGCAAATCCAAAAAATATGAATGGAGTGATAGATCACAAGTACAGACTGATCATATTTTGTACATTTTAGATATGATTTATTCGGCAAATTTTCGAGCTGACGTCATCAAGTTTTTGGAGGGGATAAGCAAATATATTTTGACTAAACATTTATTATGCTCTTTATAACCTTCAAACATCTGCAAGATGTCAGAGCATTCCGTTTTGTAGTTCCTGATTAAATCAATAAAATATATTTACGCATTCATTAATTTTTTTGAGGCACTCTGTATATGCAAATCCAAAAAATATGAATGGAGTGATAAATGACAAGTACAGACTCATCATATTTTGTACATTTTAGATATGATTTATTCGGCAAACTTTCGAGCTGACGTCATCAAGTTTTTGGAGGGGATAAGCAAATATATTTTGACTAAACATTTATTATGCTCTTTATGACCTTAAAACATCTGCAAGATTTCAGAGCATTCGGTTTTGTAGTTCCTGATTAAATCAATAAAATATATTTACGCATTCATTAATTTTTTTGAGTCACCCTGTATATGCAAATCCAAAAAATATGAATGGAGTGATAGATCACAAGTACAGACTCATCATATTTTGTACATTTTAGATATGATTTATTCCACAAACTTTTGAGCTGACGTCATCAAGTTTTTGGAGGGGGTAAGCAAATATTTTTTGACTAAAGATTTATGATGCTCTTTATAGCCTTAAAACATCTGCAACATTTCAAAGCATTCTGGTTAGCAGATTAAAAATTAAATTTCAAAATGTTGTTTTATAATTTTGATTTTTTTTCCAAAAATCTGGACGTTTCGGGTGAAAAGTCGATTCGGAGTTGTAAACTACATGTGTAGGACTATGTTATTTTATACAATTGAAAACCAATTTACTATGTACAATTTTGAAGTGACGTCATCGCATTAGTGGTGGGGATGATTAGACAAATTTTGGTTAGCGTTTTACCATCTACATGATATTCTTAATATAAGTACAAAATTTCACAACAATCGGTCGAGTACTTTCGGAGATTATCTGTCTAATAAAAATCCGGGGGCAGACGGACAGACGGACAGACGGACGGACGGACAGACGGACGGACAGACGGACAGACGGACAGACAGACGGACAGACAGACGGAAATGGGAGACCTATTTCTTCGTCTTCTAGGGGTCATGAAAGATCGAGAAAACGTAAAAGTAGAGAGTCGGCCGACGGACTCGATTACAATACTTCCTTTGCTTACGCTCGGGAAGTAAAAAGTGACAGATGAGCGCAAAAAAGTAATTTTGACATTTCAGTACGAAAAAGTGACATTTACTGAACGTGAATGGGGACGTAAAACGACTAGATTTGTAATGGTCGCTTAAAAAATGAATGTATTATTTATAAAAAATTATTAGATAATTTCATATTTTTTGACATAACAGAATAACAGTAAGAATCAAGAGTGACAGTCAGGGCGGACTTTCCTTTGCATAGAGACAAATGAAACTGTTAATGATATTTTCTATTGCTACGCCGGAAACAGCTTGTTTCCGTACAATTTAGGCTACTTAGAAACAAGTATTTAGAAAACGGTGGCCCAAAAAAAACGATTTTTTCAACGTTATCGATCAGATTTCTACATTGTTTTATAAAAGGTGTAAATAAATTCTCTCTAATGTAACGTGTTTATCGAAAAATTAATCTGGCGCCTGTATAGAATTGGACACTTTAACAAAAATCACCTATTTTATTTAGAATACAATAATAATAAATAAACTCAATCGAATTTTGGAGATATTTTAGTTAGTTTTTTCTAATATTAAACTGATATTAATTATTATAGAGTATCAACATTTTCAAAAATCGCAAACGGTTTGTCTTTTCATAACTGTTTCAATTATTCTTAAAACTCTTCAAAACATTTTAGATGTATTGTATATTTAAAAACAAGGTGAGTTACTCAGTGCAGGTTTTCCGATATGTCTTAAAATATTATTATTAGAGATTCAAAAAACAAAAGTTATATGGATTTTAAAGCACAATAAACTAAAATTATTTTCAGCTCTACGAAGTTCTGTGTTTTTAAATGTTCTAATTAGGTTTCTTTCAAAGTGTACAATATATTTTATTTTTGAAATTTCGATGCGTCATTGCGAAATTATTCCAATTTTCTTCTTTAGTACAAAAAAGTAGGTCCCCGTTTCCGTCTGTCTGTCTGCCGTCTGTCGTCTATGTCAGTTTTTATTAGACAGACAATATTGGAAAGTACCAGACTGATTGTTGCCAAATTTTATATGCGTGTTAGGAATATCGTGTAGATCATAAAACGCTATGACATTATTTCCAAATTTGAGAATACTAAATGTAATTTTATAAAATAACATATTGTTGTACATATGCTTTATGAATGTGTGTTGAGTTTCTATTCTAGACACCCACAGTTTTGGGAAAATAATGAAAATTGTATAAACAATATTTTACAATTTGATTTTACAATTACAATTATCCGGTTATGCGCCCCTCCAATGATGAAGTCATCTTACAAATTGGCCGAATAAATCTTCTTAAAATTTTATAAAATAATATACTCCTGTACTTGTGATTAATGAATCCTTGTTGTCATTAAAGAAATTTTATCATTCCTCTCCTCCAAATTGATCATGTCATCGCGAAATTTTGCCAGATTCATCTCATCTCATAAAAATCAGTATTTATAAAAATTCCAAAATGTTACAATTTTGGATATATTATTCGTGTTTTCAGGAAAAACAATTTGTAATTTATTACTACATCTTATTTTGTTTTTTATTTTGTTTCTCTAAACTGTTATTAAAACAGACACCTCAAAATATAGAAAGAAAGAGATTAAAAAACAGAATAAGATGAAATAATGCGTTCCTTGTTCAGTTTGACAGTCCAATAACTAAATTTTAAAAATAAATTGTACAGTCTACTAGGGTTTTTTTTTTAGATCATGGTATGTTTAAAACATACCATAAACAACTGACCAAATGAAAGAAATTGAAATTAACGCTAAATCTTTCAAATACAATATTAATAACTGTAATAGGAAGTACGAGACAAAGTTTGTAAAACGAGCCACTTGCAGCGATTTGTACAAAGAATGAGTGTGATAATGACCTTATAAAAACTTTTTTTTTTATACTAAATCATCAAAAGAAATTTAGATATTTTGACAGTCTTATTAGTTTTGTAAGTTTCTTTCGAATGCTGGAAGAAGAAATAAAATTCGTGTTCTCGTTCTGGGTGCTTTGAGCAGCAGAGTAGGTTTACATGTTAAATCAGGTTCGAGACGAAATGTAAGCGTACCTTACAGATTTATATTATAAAAAATCAATTGTCTGTCAAATATGAATTATGTCACATTTTGAAGTCAGGAATACCAAATTGTTTTCAGTGCTTTAATGTGATTCCATAAGCACTGGATTAGTAAAAATTATTCGTACGTCAAAAATCGAACACTGTAAAGTTAAAAACAATTTTAAAGAATGCTGTTCAAGGCGCTGTATAACTTTGATCTTTGACTTTTTATGTCTTTCTAATAATAATTAATTAGGAATCAAGGATCACGCAATTTATTGGCTTATCTGAGATATATCTACTACTATACACTATTAGTACATGACGTGCAATCAGTAAAACACGTTCTCAAGTTGGCAGCGGATGAACAAATTGTTCTTATCATTGTTTACCGCACGCAACAAGGATTCACAAAAACATCAAAAAATTCAGCGCTAACTTGAAGGCGAGTTTTATTGATCGTACATTTTATACTCTATTCAAAAACACAAGGAGAGTGCATAATCTTGTTAAAAAAAAACAAATAAGTTTTCAATATTGATGTACAAATTGTTAAACGTGAATATATAAAAGCTTGTGGAATAAGGTTTTATTTCAGACAATAAAGGTGGCAGAATGTTCAGGTTAAAAAATCCCGGATATTGAATGTAACTATAAGTGGTGAGAAAGTCACGCAACAAATACAAAAAAATCTTTGAACGTAAACATAAAGTCCGAATTCAAAACCAGCTACATGACTTGTCCGAGCATTATTTTCTTTTAAATTTCATTAAAAATTAAATGAAAAAAGTGAACTTTTTAATTGTGCTAAATTCTTGACAAGATATAATTACTTAAAAAAATCGTAACTTATTTAATTTTGAAGAAAGTTATAATTAATAAGTTAATAAACTGTTCTGGGTACGAAGTAAATATTGTTTAATTTTTTGTCTGTAATTATTTAACAAAAAAGATCTGAAGCACCACCTACCCATCTTGATTTTACATTTTTGTAGTTTTTTGAAACTGTGTTTGCTGAAATTCTTTCACTATGACAAGGTATTTTATTACAAACTCATTTTTCTTTATAAACAATGTAAAAACTTTTAAAGTGTTTCCTTTTTTGTTAGTTTTATTGAATTCCTAAACTCTGTAAAGTAATTTATGCTAAAAATCTTAGGAAAACAGTTTCCATAAAATCTAACAAATAGTTATATACATATGTACAAAATAACCTCTATTCCTATCGTTTAATATTCTACAAATACTCCCTACTGACGAACCTAAGTATTTACATTTTAAACCTATTATCAGATGTTCTGTAATTAAGGCCAAACGATTTGTGGGCACTCTGGATCTGGGAAGGCCCGGAGGTGGGGCTCCAATGGTGTCTGAAACCGGAAAGAAAGTTACAAGGACACGTGAAGACCCTTTGCTCAGGTTCCAGTTTGGTAGTCATGATTTAAGAAGGTGTGTGGACAACACTCTAAGATATAAAACAAACAAGAAGGCTCAAGAAGAATACAAGAAGGAACTAGGTCAGAAAAGTTTTGCACCTCATTCAAGTATAGCTTTAATTAGTAGTGAAATAATGACGGTAATTTAATTAACTTTCTTTCTTAATGGATTGTTAAAAATCGTGGGCGTTCTTTGTAATGATCACCTACGGATTGATTTTAACGCGGCGGGTCCTAAACGATTAACTAGTTTGCGGCTTTCTTATTAGGTTTTTGCAAAGTTTGCTCTATTACTTTTATGTAATACGTTAGTTGGCTGGAAGGTAGAAAACATATCCACCTACAATAATTTATACCTAAATTACTATGAGAATCAACGTGACTTCAAAATTTTAAATAGTTTTTCCTTGGGGCTATGAGAAATATTATTGCTCCATTAGCATCAACCCGGTACCATTGTTTTAATTTAGTTGTTTTCCCAGAGGGTTTTCTTGATATAATAGGTAGAGTTGAAATATCCACAATCGTATCAAAGTATGACATTCAGATTTCCTTCTGGGAAAAAATTCATCCGTTTTAATTAAGTTATAATAAAGCAGAATATCGTTTTTGAAATCCATAACAAATTTATCTTTTATATTGTGACATAAATACATATATAAATTGAACTGAATGCAAAGCATGCGAACAAAGAGAATATTTCGAGAAACGGAATTGTCGATCGATGTAATGGTTCTTTAAAATTATAAGAATTTTTTTATAAAGGTATCAGTGCCTGAATAGATATGATCTAAATTACGAAGGTTATAGTATGAATCACAAACTAAGGGTTGCAAAACACGTTAGGGGCTATGTAAAGCTTCGTTCGATATACAATATTTCTGTTAAATTGATTAATGATTTATTAGTGACTTTTATGTTCTTTTATTACATCTTGTCATGAGAATTACATCATTGCTTTATTTTAATTTGAAACAAGAGACGTAACAAAGCTACATTGTAGTTAGTAATTACTAGACGTTTGTAAAAAAAAAGTATTTACCTTTGTCAATTTGATTTTGTGTTCGTGTGTTTTGGAAACAATTTTAAATTTTCGAAATTTGTTAGAAGTTTTTAAATTTTCTTAGCAAATTCATGAGTTCCCCATAGCGGCATCAATGTTTTTTAATGAATAAACTAAAAAGAAATTTAACCACCTATTGATTTTCAGATCAATATTATTATGCGCATTAGAGTTCTTAATAAAATAAGAAACCGTACATCCAATAAAAGTTTTTCCATTAATTGACTCGAAAGAAAAGTTATAAGTATAGGAACTAAATTGTTTTTTATCTTTTATAAATTTACTTCGCATATAGAGAATTCTTCAGTGGCGGCTCCTCGGGGTGGGCAGGGTGGGCAATGCCCACCCTATTTGATTGTTTATGATACGAAGTAAAATATTGATTTTTTTTCTTTTTTAAAATATTTTATATGTATACACAAATAATTATCGTCGTAAATATCATTTAAGCCAACGGATTTTCTTCATTATATCCCGCAGTTTCCACAACTGAGAAATTGCAGTTATAAAAAAGTGCGTCAGATCTCGGCGTTATACGGTTCATGTGAGGATGGGCTAGTCCACCCTGGTCCACCCTCTTGATTGTAAGCAACGACATACGTTCGGTTTTCTATGTACGTAATTGAGAATAAAGAATTCGAAACGCGCGTCTTTGCATATCCGTGTTTTCTTGCTTCAAGCGGGGCAGGACGCCCTGGCCTCAACGTATATCTCAAACGCTGCAGAATCGGATCTCTCGATATTCGATTCAAGGATTCAATAAATTAATTTCGATTTTTTTACTTCTTCTGTATTGTAAAAGTATAGAGGTAATTATTTTTATTACTCTATTGAAATATGGGTAAGGTAGTAAGGAAAATAATGTTATGCGAAAATTCTTGAATACTATTGTTATAGAAAAGAGCAACACCATAATAATTAATAAATACTTTTTCATATCAAATGAAAATTTGTAATAACCATATTCTTGTATTATGACACCGTGTAAACTTTATAATGAATTATAAATTTAAAAATCCGAATAACAAATGATGAGAATAAGTAATACATTTATTATTGCAGTACGTATCTGACATGTGTATTTTTTATTATTACATATGCATTTTTGTTTCATAAATATAACTGTAGCAGAGTTAACAAAAGCTAAATATACGCTTAATTTATTATTTAATTCAGACTGTCCGCACAGGTTTGTTACGCGTTCGCTCTAGCATGGGTGGGCAAATCCACCCTGAAAATCGGAAGCACTCGGCATGGTTCGTCCTCGTCGGAGACACGACTCAATTGAATTCAGTCAGATCAGAAACTGCATTCTGGATAGTCCAGGATAGGATTATAAAATGTAGCTTATTCAAATTGCCAAATAGTTAGGCGGATACCAAAGTAGGTACTTTCTAGCAATTTTTTTTAATGGCAAATCCTACTGTAAGCTGTGCAAATAATATTAGAGAGGTGGTAAAGAAGGCATTAAAGACATTGAGTTTTTGTTTTTAATAAATAAATTCAGTAGTATGGAACTTGATATTTATGAATTATTTGTTTATAAATTAAGATCATGTCCCGAAATGAAACAATTGGTCATCACAAACTCTCGTGGCAGTAATAAAGGCTTTAATCAAAGTTCGGACAATAAATATTAGGTACCTATTGGTTGATCGGTAGTGAAACAACAAACAAAACTGTTGGAATTATCTGCTATTTAACATAAAATTAAATTACGAACACTTTAGAATTCCACAAGAAGAGCGATATAAAATATATCGCTACTGCTTTACAAAAACATGACCAATCTGAATAAACGAAAATTACTTGGAAAACGAAGTGAAACTATAGAAAATTCTTTTAAATTCGGCGTTTATTCGATATGATAATTTTCTTGGCTACACAAAAACATACATTTCGGGGACAAGATGAATCGCAAATTTCTCTTAAAGTAAATTCGATGATAAATTTAAAAAGTTTTTTGGAGGAGTCTTTGGTAATTAGTGGTCTTCAGAACGATTATTTTGGAATTATTTTTATTTTATTTGTTATTGTTAACTTTGTTAGTATTTTGAGAATTTATGTTTTGTTTGATTTGGCATTTTTAATTTTGCTTTTACAATAATTTTCCAAATTGCTCCTTTTTCTAAGTGTAGCTTATCTCAAAGGTTTAAAATTTAATGTTTTCTCGTCATGTTATTTCAAAATCTTTACATGTTGGGATCATTATTTGAGTTTATAGTTCTATAAACTCCTAACAAATCTATTTATGTGCTGAACCTTTTTTGCTCCTCTTTCCTCTTCTAGCAAGAGTCTTCGACGTTCTCGTTGGTTCTTGCTGAACGACATTGTAAGTAACATTTATAAAATAATATATAGGTATGTAATATACATAAAATATTTGTTATATTATATTGATTGACATGCAGCACCAAAACAAAAACACGTTCTCACAAAAATGATTAATTATATATATGTATATATTTTTTTTTCATACATGTTATAACCTACCTATAATGCTTTGCCCACCCATCAAAAATCACCACGAGCCGCCACTGGAATTCTTACGGCGTTTTCACACCGATGAGAAGGTTGCTTAAAATACTAAAATAATCAAACACTAATTTTAATTAATTTCTTAACAGTTTAATTTTTTCGTGTTGTAAATCATTCTGGATATTGAGAAATACCAACAATGCGTGATTAAATAAACATATTAACGACGTGAACTAACCACATTATTTCAAAAATCGTATAAATCAACAACCATCAAATTAATTTTATTGTCTTGTTAATGTAGTAATATCATGATTGTTGTCTTTGATATTCTTCAAATTAATAATTTCAAAAACTATATTCCAATGACCTGTCGCCATCATAAATAAATCTTTTTTATTAACCACAAAATAGAAAGTTTCATTCGGATAATTTTGTCTACATTTTCTTCATAAACCTGTTCCAAAATTAAGCATCGCATTAACTCTAGACAATACCTAAAATTAGAAATTATCCGGGTTTACCTTAACACCTGTGTAATTCAAAAAATATTTGCTTTAAAGAAAGTGACGCCAAATTTCACACGACGACGTTACGGAGATTTTCATTCATAGATCACGTTCAAGTTATTCAAATAAGCCGCGGATTCTTCCTCAGGAGAAAGTTGATCTCACAATAAATGTAAACAAGATGAAGATAAAGATGATTTTTCACATTGTTATATACATAATCATAAAAACTGATTTGTGTCTCCTAAATACATTAAACCTGTTGAACTGCTTTCTGGGATGTCTTAAATGAGTGTAATTTATACGCTTGGACGATCTCTTAGTCAATTATGTAACGGAAAAATTTAAATTTCCTCTTCCACCGGATTTAGAATAAATGACTTCATCGTGCTTTCCTACGAGAATACATATTTTAGTGCAGTTTGATTGATGAAGTCTCTTTCACAATGTGTGTCAAGCTATATGAAGCGAGTGATTACAAATACAAAAGTTTTATCAAAATAACGACCTCTTGTTTATGTTCACAACGTGTTTTTGTCATTCATAAATGATTTCTCGGCGTGGATCAAAGGTTGCATGATGATTATAAAACTACTAATTTTAATATCTCTTTGTTCAAACATCATTTAGCGCTGACAAACAACTGTTAATTTATTATTATTGGTCTTACAACATCTAAGTCTTATCGTTGTTATTGCATTTAATCCCTATGTTATTCATTCATTGTATTTATTAAATGGAGATTTTTAGCGAAAATGTTCTTATTTTTGCCTTGCACAATTTTAAGATCAACTGGTTGAAGAAAAACGAAGAAATGATGAAAGACAGAGACTCGAGGACCACGATGCTATTCAAAAACAAGTAAGTCAGGTACATTTTTTTGATCAATTTTTGACAGTTTTTGAAGTTTTCGAAAACACCTCCCTGGGGCAAGCAAGGACCAGGTGGTTTCAATTGGAGAAAACCGAATGCTATAGGATTGAATTTTTTTAAGTCATTGGTAAGCTACACGACAGTCATGTGTAGCTTGCTGACATTTTTTGAAATCTAGTCAATAGAATTTTCATTAGATTTTTGTCCACATTCTATTACTTAATGAGAGATCATGAAATTTTGAAGATTTAGAACAATCATATTTTTATTCTTCCGTCTGTATGTGAGCTTGGTAAACTGCTAATCAAAGTTCATTTACTCATCTCTTCCAAAAATTTGATCGTCATCTTAAAATTTTGTTAGGATTTTCCTTGAAATTTGTAGTACAATATGCTCGTTCCATGGTAGTTAAACGTATTCATTTTTGTTGTGATATTTTGTTAGTTATTAAAAAAAAAATAAAATTCATAAAAATATATTTTACAATTTGTCAGAATCCAAGGAACGAACTTTTGAACATAACAATTTTCTTTTTAAATGGCGTTAAGATACTATCATTAACTTAAGAATTTCAAAAAAGTCAATTACAACTGACCTGTTCATTTTTTTTCAACAAGTTGACGACGTCGTCTCAAAAAAAAAGATTTATTATTTGATACACGAATTTAGAAATTTTTCCTACATGTCTTTGAAGTTTTAATATTACATAAACTTATCCTTAGTAAGTATTTTAATTAATTAGTTTGATATTATATAAAAATGGTAGACAAATCAAGTCGACGCCTCTTTTTCTGTAGTACGACATTTTGAGATTGTTGTTAGTAGCAATACTCAAGTCAAAATATCTTTTTACAATAATGTAATTTGTATGTTTTATTGGTGTAAATGTTTTAATACAAAAGTTTTTGTAATCTAATTTACCTGTCATTTGTTTAGCTCTGCTGATGGTACCAGTTCGAAACATGTTGGTCTACTTTTCGTAATAAAATTTCAATTTTCTGTGGTGTCGTCTTGATTTGTCTACCATTTTTACTTTTAGAACGTAACCAAAGGAAGTATTGTAATAGAATCCATTCGGCAAATGGCTGCTTTCATGTTTTCTCGACATTTTATGATCCTAGAGATTGAAACAATAGATCTACTGTTTCCGTTTATCTGTTTGGTGTTTGTTTTCTCTGTCAATTTTAATTTGACAAATAATTTCGACATTGAATATGTTTGAATATTTGACTTCAAGTGCGAAGGAAAGTGTGTAAATAGCTTTTTGGAGTTTTTTTGTTTTGTTTTTTGGACGTTTCATAAACCGTAAAGTGCGAAATAATAGGTTTCCCGTTTCCGTCTGCCTGCCTGTCGGTCTGTCTGTCTGTCTGTCTGTCTATCTGTCTGTCTGTCTGCCTGTCTGTCTGTCTGTTTGTTTGTCTGCCTATCTGTCATCTACTGTCTGTTCGCCGACTTTTAATAGACAGATAATCTCCGAAACTACTGGATTGATTGTGTCAAATTTTAGATGTACGTTAAGAATATCGTGTAGATGGTAAAACGCTACAAAAAGTTGTCTAATTATCCTCACTTACGTCACTCAAAATGTTTTACATTAAATAATTCTTAGAATATAAAAATTCCCAAAATCAAATTTTGTAATTGTTTAAAGAATAAGCCAGATTTGTTGGAATGTACTTTAGGGTCGAAAGAAGTTCGGTCTAAATAACCTGACCTGACCTGACCTGACCAATTTTTCTTGTACATACTAAATTAGTAATGTTTGAACGAGCAAATTTTATATTTATCTTGGAAGCCACCTACCGCACTTTTTTTAAATCTCAGTAAGAAAATAGTATTGATTTTGCAATTATGGATACCAAACATCGAATAATATTAATTTATTTTGCCCTGCCGTAACACTTTCAAAAAAACCGATAATAAAAATATTTTCAAAAATAGATCTTGGTGCTTTGTTTCAAGAGAAAGACTTCGTTCTTTTGGAGCTGACTGTACACATTGAAACGAAAAACACCATCAAAAATGGCCATGGATTTTTTAAGATTTGTCTTTGATAGAACTTTCGTCACGTCAAATTTTTTAAAATCCATGGCTACCTTTGATCGCGTTTTTCAATGCACTCTCGGTAGAATCTTAACGATTTTAATGAATGCATCATTTCAGAAAAACATCTATCACTCCCGATGTGCGCTGATCACAGCCTATACTAAATACAAATTTTGTAGATCAAATTGTAAATTAGTGTTACTTACGTTGATATAGGTATATCAAAATTAATATATTCGTTTCCACCAAAAATTAATGGCAGGACTTGTTGGATAGAACGCATACTAATGATCGCGGGTTCGATCCCCTCATGGACTGATTTTGTTTGAGGTTACTCCATTGGTCCATTCTGAGACCATTTTTTTAAAATACTGTTACGTTGTATAGGTGTTTAAAATCAACAATTTATTTTTTACTAACTCAAATTTACACATCTACTTAATTGCACAGCGCTTATGTACAAAATAATCCCGGCTCGACTGGAATAGATTTGACTAGACTCTGTTTCTCCCATTGCATTGTTTGGACTTCACTCGTTGATTGAATAATCTCGTTCCCGAAGGTGGCCTCTGCTTAAACCCAGATTTCCTTCTAGAAGTTTCGCAATCGAGGTCTTTTTGTAATACCCATCGCGATTTCCGGACGGCTTTTAGCAAACGCCGCCCTGCCGCCGTCACCGACGATGAGTCACCCATCATCGCCGTACATACTAGAACCCATAGGCGTCGTACCGGGGCGACGTATGGGTTTCTTTCATAACAATACGTTTTTACATACGCGTCTATTTTTGTAATTTAATGTTTATCATTTCTTTTCTCAATATATCGCAACAACACAAAATTGTCTGAAAAATTTAAGAAGACTAATAAAAATACAGAGTGGTTGCTAAACATACGGCAAAAAATAAATTGTTTACTTAAAAATTATTTATATCAAATGATTCAAATATGTACACAAATAGGTGTAGCTTCATGATTATTTACTACATACCCAAAAAATTGGTCTAAAAGGCTATTTAGATCCAACTTCCCAAGTCCCCCAAAAACAGTACAACAGATCGTTTTCGAAAACAGACAAAACATGAAAGCAGTCATTCGCCGGATGAACTATTTACAATATTTCCTTAGCTTACTCTCGGGAAGTAAAAATTAATAAAGGCGCATTGTTATTTATGCGATTTTCCTAGTTTCCATAGCATGAGTTCAGTACAAATAATTTATTTTTAAACTAAAGAAAAAAAGTTAAAAAATATATTAGCAGTGCAACTACTACAGAAAAAACATCTGTTAATCCAGGGTGCACTGTATTAAAATTTTTAACGCAGCTATGGACAGCCTCATGAAATTTTGAAAAAATTTTATTATGTGTTCTATCTTCAATTTTTCATAATCATGTTATTTATATACCTACCTATAAAAATGGATGAACGTCACTATGTGCAAATAAAACTTTTCCATTCATTTCCAAATTTTAGGGATGGTCAACTGAAAATACCCTTAAACAACTAGACACCGTACGACCTGAAGTCACAAATAAAATGCACAAAGACGTACCCTTAGAAAAACCGAAAAATAATTATGACCCTAAAAAACAGCATCCGGATAAAGTGAAGAAGTATGATCCCGTATTCTATCCCTCCAAAAACATCTACGTTGGTTCAAAGAACAGAAAACTCTCTCCCTTACCTCACGGTAAGGAAAACGGAATTGAGTTGGTGCCACTTTTAGCTAAACAAAGACGATTTCCAATGAAAATTCACCTAGACACTACAGACGTGACCAATCAGAAAAAAATCCAGTAAATTCTTCGCGAGTAAAAACTTGCGTGCACTTAATTATCTCCGTTGCAGTTTATCTTCTCTTTGGAATAGACAAGGCTCTTCATACTTGCGGGACCTATCACAACAAATGGCCTACAAGCAGCAGAAACAGAAGGTAAAGGTAAAGCTCTTTCGTGATGACTCGCCACTTTACATTTTCAACGCATGCAAGAACTATAGCTTTATGCAAATGTAAAAATGATGTCTGTATTATGCTTATCTGACAGTGCACATGCCTGTATTTCTTGCGTGCCATATTGATTGCACAATAAACGGTAATTAATCGGATCCTTGACAGGAAATGAAAGCCGCAGACGAAGAAACTGTTCGTCATCATTTTAACACGTGGGATGGCTTTTGGGGGAGACCAGGACATGGTGCCCCCAAATCTGCCGTCAAAAAACAAAGACTGGATCGACTACTTTATCCTCAAATGGTTCCCATCAGCGTGCACTAGGGTATGTCGGCTTTAGAAACAAATTATGTGAGAGCCATCAATCTCATACCGTATTTCCTTCCTGATGCCTGTCGCTTCTGGTTATTTTTTAACTAATAAATTTTCTATATTGTTATAATGCAATGTGACAGAGTAATTTTCCGAGCAATGAATTTCGCGCTAAAGTGATAATAGTTGGAAATTCGGTTCAAGTGCGAGGATCACGCTTCTAGCCACATGTTAAGTGGTAGATATTGCATTCTTTCACTCCTGACCTTAATATAACGAAAACAAACAATAAGAAAATAATGGGTGTTGCAAAAAATCGGTTGGTTTCAAATCTTCTGATCTTTTTTGTATTGTTTGGAAAATAAGAAAGCTGGTTACTAACAATTTGGGAAATATGTCTAAATTGATTTAGTTGTGTGGGTTTTTGCATTTTGGAGCTAGATCACCCAAACTGTGAGAGGAATGTAGGTGAGGAGATTAACACACCGTGAGATTCATGCTTATGCGTACATTTTTCTGTTAAAGCAGCTGCGTAATGATGAGTTAATCACTTGTGTCAGAAGTGATCTGACGTGACAACACAAAGGATGGGGTCAAAAGATAGTAACACGTATCGCTCCTAATTTGGCGGAACTAAAGATTAGTGTTGTTTTTAATTGAAATCTTAATTAATGTTTTAAAAGTTAAGTTAAAAAAAATAGTCATTTTCTATTAAAGAAGATTCTCCAGCTGGTTGCGTAAGACTGAGCAAATACGAACTGACATAATTTTTCAAGTGGTTTGAAATTGTTAATAAAGTGACGAAGTTACACATAACGATACTATTACCAAATTAAAGAATTAAATCAAAGGGGACTGAACTCTTTTTGAGCATTTAGCCGCAATGGTACTTAAGTCACTTCTTCACAGTTAACTTCTGAACCTCTTACTCAACGAATCAAATTTGGTAAAAGTAACTTAAACAAAGAGCGGTCGGAGTATACTGTGACGTCATAAAATATATCATCTAGATTTTCTAAATGACGTCGATGTGTATTCAACAGATTCAGCTATGGTTGTTTTTACTTTAGACACATTTGTTAAGGTGCACTTAAGTTCACCGAGAAAAATTTGTCTTTATTCCAAATTAATTAGTTACATCATGATATAATTGAGATCAAGTCAATATCGGGTGTCAGAACAAAATTCTCTATTTTAAGTCACCTTGTATGTACGATTCTATGTTAGAATAAAAATATTTTGGTTTATTTAGTTTCACATGGAGGAATATTTTAATCATTAAAATAGGTACAGTTTCCGACAAAAAATTTCAAACATCACTTTCCTGTCATGTCAAAAATTTTAATGTAGTCTATGCTTCATTGTCATTATTTCGGACAGCTGGAATGTCAAACTTTTAAAATTCCAGCTTACGCTACAGCTACATTAATGTGTCAAATGTAAAAGTTAAAAAATATTTAGGTTAGAAACATCTAAAGGTTGCTTTACACTATCTGACAACTGAATGACATTGACGCCTGAAATTTTTTGGCGGCAACTGTATGTATGTTTAAATGAAACTGAAATTACTAGACGTCACAAATAGAAAAGGCATAAAAAATTCGGTCTATTTGTTGAACGACTACTGTCATGTTTTCTCAACGTTTCATAGCTTCTGTTTGTCTTGTCGGCAATTTTATTATACCGATGATCTCTTAGCCCACAAAATCGACAGTTGTGAAATTTTAGACGCATTTTAAAAATATCGCGTAGATAGTAAAATGGTAACCTCAATTTGACTGGTCATCTCTCAAAAAATTTGATATCATCTCACAATTTTATTAAGTAAATTCTGACTAAAATGTGTAAAAAAGGTGTTCCTTAAAAATAGAAAAAAATCTCTTTCAACTTTAAAAATGAAAATCAACAAAAAACAAAACATGCAGTAATAAAATACAAGCTGTTCTATTTAATTAAACTAAATTATGGATATTTCAAAATTATTGTAAGTCAATTTTGTTTATAAACTGTCTGCATATTAAAACCCAATTTTATTTTTACCATAATAAAACACGTATTTTATTTAAGTCTCCAGAAAATATTGTGACCCAGATTTTAAAAATAACCGAGTTGCGATTTTTTTTTGTGAACCCTCCCATTACCAATAACACTTTAAGAAAACTGGAATAACTTGGCAATGTCGGATCAGAATTTCGAAAATAAACTATGGTTAAAAGCCTAAGAAGATATCAACAAGAATGTATAAAAATATATAGAGTATTCTATTTAAAAATACCAAGTCGTGTTACCCCCTAAAAACAGAACACCCTGTATAGGTACTTAAAAATTTTTATGTTTTCTGGACGTTTCATGACCCGGAGTGTACGTAAAAAGTATGCTCCATTTTCCGTCTGTCTGTCCGTCTGTCTATCTGTCTGTCTGTCTGTCTGTTTGTCGTCTGTGCCGATTTTTATTAGACGAATAATTTCGCAATCTACTGGACCGCTTGTTGTCAAATTTTGTGTGTGTAATAGGAATATCTTGTATATAGATGGTAAAACGCTTACCAAAATGTGGCCAATCATTCCCACCACCTGGGATAGCGTTATCTTTAAAATTTACAATAGTAATTTTTTGTTTTATTTTATAAAATAAGATACTCCTGCACTTGTGATCTGTGTAGAGTTTTCACCCTAGACAACCAGATTTTTGGAAAAAAAAATCAAAACTGTATAACAACATTTGCAATTTAACTTTGAAACTGCAAAACTGAATACTCTGGAATCTTGTAAACATTTTATGGTTATCGTAATCATGGTAAACTGTTAATTAAAATTTATTCGTATATTTCCTACAAAAAATTGATGACGTGAAATTTGGAAATACTGTTATTATTAGTATTACCCTACTCTATTCAAGTTGATATATATGTGTTTTTGCAGAAATCTTGATGACGTTATTATCACAAAGTTTTGTGAAAAACTCAGTTACTTAAAACAAACACGGTTACCTCTATTTTAACACTACAAACATATTTTTCTTTTAACTTAACAAGAGTTATCAAAAAAATATACTCCTACAAAATTCGATGAATCAAATTTTATAATTTTTCGACCTTTGCGTTAGTGGCACAAAGCTCTACCCAACTGAGCTATACGGTCAATCTATTGCATTTCTCTTATATCAGTGTAAAAATTTGTTATACAATTTGGATTGTAAATCTAAATACTTTTGGTAAAAAATCAACCCAGGTTCATAAACTGTAAGGGCAGTAGTATGTTTATTATAAAATTTAAATACCCTTTACCCTGCAAAATATTCAGGTGGGGTCATCAAATTGTTGGTGTAGATGATTATACAAATTTTGTTTATCCTTTTTCCATCAACGGCCACCCTGAAATATTTCGCAAAACCACTTTAAACGTTATTAATTCAACAACTATTCACACAGGATGTAGCAGTTAGCTAAAAAAAGACACAATTAAATACTGAATTAAATTAAATTTAAGAAAATAATTGAAACAATAAAATATTTCAGAGTAGCCGTTTTTTTGTCGGTCAGTGTATTTCGAACATGAAAATCGACACAGACAACAGACAAATGACGGACAGACGATGCACACGACGAACAGACGATGGAGAGACACAAACAGATGGAAACGGGAGACCTGTTTTTTCATACACTAGGTATCGAGAAAACAGTAAAGTAACGATTTGCATACTTGTTTAGCTTACGCCCAAGAAATAAAAATCTACAATCTATTTCGCACCTTAGTACGACTAGAATTTTAAATACACAATGTTTTTAGATGTAATTCAGGATTACTTATATGCTCATTACCAACAATTTCAGAAAGCATGCAAAATCAAAGAATAAAAAATTATTGCTGTCAACTTTGTAAAGAAGCACACCATTTCGTCTTGTAGTTTCCTGACACTAACTGAATATAAATGCGCACACACCTACCAACGCACCAACATAAATTTAATAACCATAGAAAATATACAATATTTTATTTATTTGTCTCGTGTAGAAAGCTAATGATGTCATCTGAAAAATTTAGTAACTAAAGTTTTATGTACTATAAATATCGGGTTTCGACTGAAAAAGTCATCAAGACTTTTTCAATTAAACACCCGTGCACTTTAATGGTGTTTCTTATTGATTTTTACCATTGCACAGATACAGAATGTCCTAAATAAAATTTCGTCGCCTCATATGTTGAGAACCGATAGAAATATTGAAATTCTGTAAAAGTCATTCTTATTCAAATTTATACCTATAGAAAAAAATAAAGATAAGTAAAATAAAGGACTTTTACTTTATTTTACAAACAGCTAGTAAGGTTTGTTTGAAGGAGAGGTGACTTAAGCCTGTATTCAAATTATCGTCCTTCAGATTGGACATAAAGATTTTTAGTTCTTTTTAATTTTTTAAATCACGCGAGAGTTGCAAATAGGTCAAATCATTTATGTATCAGCACAAAAAAATCTTAGAGACATTAAATCTGGATTGCGAGCTGGCCATGGAGGGACTACTCTATCACCAACCCAATTTTCATCATACATATTTCACAAAATAAAAAAATTAACTATTTTTCACAAGTAGCAAAAAAAAATGTTTTACTTCAAGATTTCTGATGTTAAAAGTAAAGTAGGTAATTGAGTTTGCTGTTTCCATGACAATTCTATATATGTATATATCTACGATTTGATAATTTATATTTTTGAAAAGTTAAAACTATAAAACAAACCTGTAAGTGTTTATATATTTAATTGTCTATAAAGTTGTCTATAAAAACTAAAAAAATATATATTTGATGTCGCGACGCGGATGCCATATACGCATTATGTTTGCAATGTACTAATTTAAACTTCCTCCGTCAAGCTAAAATCAGTGGCGTATCACCAGTATCTCTATTGGTGTAAGATTATTTATTGCAAATACTGTAGCTACCAACATAGATATATTGTATATGACACATGACACAAACAGTAACAAGAATTAATTTACTAATAAAACACAAAAGGAGAAATTTAACGTTACAAGTGTTTAGATAATGTTAAACATTTCGTTTGCGTGTAGTCTAAAATTACAACTCTCAATTTCATACACTTATCCCAAATGAGCAATCATTTTCTTATTAAAAATCAACTCGCAACAGAAAATACATAAATCAAATCCCATTGATGCCAACATGTATATTATAAAGCGAAAAATAACACCTTATCTTTGTACTACATCAGTTTTATCCAACCTCCTGTCAATAAATTTTAATGACAGATCCATAAATAATTGTTAGAAAAAACTAATAATAGATTGAAATTACAATGAACTTCAGCGACTCTGTGTCGACATAGTGTAGGCTGAAACAAACAGGGAAACATTTCACGATTTTTTTTCAAGTTTCATCAATGCCACTTTCTAATTACAAAGAACAGCAATTCAGAAAAATATTGCTCTAATAGGACAGTTAAGTTCGTTAAAATTTATTGCTCATCACCACATGTTCTTCTGACACGGTACCTTTTCACTCAGGTGTATATTGTACGAGAAAAGTCAGCCAAAATGATTTTTTAATGGCAATAAAATTAAGTGGGAAACTCGATTTAATTTTCTATTGTTGTGGCTTAAGGATTCTTATGCTGTACGATCACACTTTCAATAATCATCTCATCTCCACACGTAAGTACTACTACACGCCTACTAAGTTTACGAGCATAATAAAAGCAAGTAGTTACACTAATCTGATGAAGAAACAGGAAAGGCTTTTCTACAGCAAAAAGCTTTTGGAAATTGTGCAAAAATTTTACATCAGGATTATTCAATCAGATATCGATTTCCAAACCCTAATTTCTCTGTGAGCAGTAAGTGAAAATCTTATTAACGCAATTTGAGATGCATTAATGGACGCGTGTTGAATATGAAGGTGTGCCCATCACACAGGTACTAACTACAAATAAGGGGGTCATTTACGAAGATGCGTATACCCCGGTATAGTACTGATCTTCACCGGTGAAATCACGGTGAATATCACTTCTTCTTCAGTCTTAAGCGGACTGTGTTGGTGGGTGCTCCACAGTGACTTCCTTGGATCATTTCTAATCACTGCACTGCCATGCGTTGGGTAATTATATTCTTACTCTGTAATTAACATTCACGCTTAAAGTGCTAATTGATAAGTGCTGCTAAAACTAACGATCTCGCTAACGATTGTTTGGCGTTAATTATAACCAAAACTGTCGATACGAAATGCGGTGATTGTGTTGATTCTTGTTTAATCAAAGGGGAGCAATCGGAAATTTTGATGGAAAAAGTTAAGTTTACACAAGGGTAACGATTCTAATTTGTTTCTTCGGTAAACATTTGATGAGTTTCGGCGATTATGAGTGGAGGAGGAGGAGGAGGAGGAGGGCGATCGATAATAAATTATGAGCTAGCCAATTAATTTTCTTGTTCTATAATGGAAGTACACGTTCGGCATTTTCTAAATAAGCTATATTGCCTATCTCTTAGATCAGCAGCACGTATCAGCGTGAAATTAGTTTGATGAAATTTTACTGTGTGCGTATAATTACGACCTTTATTGAAAAAGAATAATATAGGAAAGAGGGAGGTTCCACTTTAATGATACACATAGCGAATTCATGGATTCTGAATTCGTAGCTTGTAAAAATACCGAACTTAGAAATTTGCTTGGCATTGTAGTCAATGATGTGTACTTGTGGAGGTTAGAGAAAGCACCTTATTTTATTATCGTTATTATTAAATAGAGATTTCTTTCTCATTTCCCATTTCTCATGAACGGTGCCTAATTAACCATTATGCACACAAATCTAAACCCTTAAAAATTGCATATTTAACACCTAGAATCCAGTCCGAAAGTGCATACCATTGTGTTGTCACTCACTGACGCGAATAATAACTTTGGTGGTAATTACAGGGTGTTGCAATTACAAAATACTTCAGGATGCAAGAAAATGTGTTTGTACCGTTGATCTTAACACCGGTACCGGTCGTACCGTAATTAATTACCTCAAGGTAATTTTTCACCGCTAGTGTTAATTCATTTCCATTGAAAGAAAGTTATTCAATACTTCACTTATCCTCATTGTCCTGATAAACATCAGCCATGACCAACAATGCAAACGTGTCTAAAAGTTTTTATTGGATTTTGTGACCATTGTTTCGTGGCAGTTGAAAGTCCATAGCTTTATTCAACAATGAAATAAGTGATAAATATTTACAAATACGGGCGCGTGACATTTGTAAAAAACGCAGCTGTTTTTCCTTGTATACCAGGGGTCCATATTTCGAAGATGAGCACGGAGAAAGTGACGCTTATACATTTAAATGCATTTCTTCAGTTTCTCTTGAACACACATGTCATTGGAGGTCACTCTTCAAGGTGCGAGGCTACCGCATTTTTGTATACACGTGATCGTTAACCACGACCTCTGAAGGTAAATAGCAAACATATCGTTTAGTATTAAACCCTGTAAAAGTCACCACATTCAAATTTTACCAACTGCTATTTCACAGAGATTTCTACGACTTGATACCATGCAAATGTACTGAAAGATTAGGCGTTTCCATCTTTTGTTTCATCAGAGGTTGCACACGAACTTAAAGTGGGTACCTAACTATTTAGCAACTTCATATTTTTGTCGTTTTATCTGGTATAAATCGAAAATAGTGCGGATTAAAGGATTTAAGAGCGCCTTGAGCATAAAAAAGTTGTGGGCGATTTATGAGAATCTAGATGAAGGATTAAAAAATAAATCAATATCGCCCATGAGAAAAGAAAAAGTAGGCTATCGATGTTCCCAACTGGACTCGGAAAAGTATGCGTGATATATTTGTAACTGGAGATCCATATATCACTGAAATTTATTTTTATTAACTGATGGATTTTTCCCTTTGATGTACATGTGTGTGTGTACTCTCATTTTAGCTTAATGTGAACTCGTGCTCTTTAAATAAGACTGGGCAGAACGAGGAGTTCAAACAAAGGTCAAACGTGAATTGGATGAGAGTGAAAAGAAATGAATACGTGAAGACCGGAATAACCAATGTCTTGGAATGTGTTATTTTCTCCTCTAATAGATCTGGTTCGTATACATAGTAGCCACACTTTTATAACAGGTGCAAAGTTTGGATGATTCTGTAGTATAACTCGATACTATTAAGAGCTACGCCAGATTTTACGATGGCTTTTAAGATGATTATTAATAGTAAAATATTCTCATTTACAAAAATGCTTAATTTATTTAATCAATAATTAATTGATGCTTATGATAACTTTCTAATTTCTAAAACGAATATTCCAAATGTTTTATACTTTGAAGGGGCATAATAAGCATAACTCCTTGTAAAATAACTAACGAAAATCGTTTGATATGTGATACTGTATTCAGAATGGTTGTAAAATATGGAATTAATTAAAAAAAAAAGAAATAAAAAATGACACAAATGCTGCGGGATTATTTTTCATTTTACCCACGTTTTAATAATAATAATTCTGAAAGTTTTTGGTTGGTAATTTTATAATCAGAGAATGGATTTGTGCGCGTAAGCTGACAAATCGCCAAGTGCAATGATGCACCGAACCTCGCGTCGGAGCAAGTAACTTTCAGAGGGCTAACTGTACGCTACAAAAAAGGGTTAGGTGTTCCTTCAGATTCACCAAGTTACAAAAAAGTATCGCACAACTAAATCGAAACCATCACTCCTTTAATTTGTGGAAAAAGAATATTTTCCTGTTTAGTTGAGTCAACTGGTTGTACAAATCATAAATTATATCAGAAAATAGTTTTAATACAAGTAGAAATAAAAAACACTTAATACATAACAAATCAACAACAAACAAGAAATTAATCTAAATAAACAGTGATTTGCTGGTGTCAAGAGCAAATATTGCTTCCTTGAACTTCCATTAGTCAAGGCATACCTTGAATAAGGTGTTCAATTAGTAATTACATAATTACTTACTTAATCCCGTTCCTCCTCTACCTTACGGTGCAGAGGTGCTGTGGCGGCGGCACTACTCCTTCCACAGCATGCGGTCCTTTGCCAGGACCTCCGCTTGCCTCCATCTCATTTTTCTCCTTCTTTGGTCTGCCTCTATTCCGTTTTCGGTTCACTCCTGCTTTCCATATTGCCTTGACCTGTCTGCTTCTACTCATTCGCACCATATGACCGAACCAACTCAGTTGCCTCTGCTCTATTTTATCCATCACTGGCACAACTTTAAACCACTCCCGCACTGTGTCATTTCTAATACAGTCACGTCGCGTTATGCCCGCTGCTGCCCTGAAGTGCCTCATCTCACATGCCTGCAACTTGCTTCTTGCATTATCATTCATCGTCCATGTTTCACAACCTAAAAAATCGGTACAAAAACACTGTTAAATATTTTTGCCTTCGTTTCTCTACTCACTTCTTTTTTCTTAATAAATGGTCTGTTTAGCGCGCAATAAAGCTTGTTTGCACATTGAATTCTTGCATTGATTTCGGCCTCTAGTCCCCCTTGTACGCAAATTGTCAATCTTAAGTATTTGAAACTTTCCTTTTGGGTGATCATTATATTGTCCAGCTTGATGTTTATTTTTTGTTCACTTTTCCTATTACCATGACTTCTGCTTTTTCCACGTTTATGTTCATTCCGTAGTCTTTAAATTCTTTATATCATATGTCTAATTTCTTCTGAAGTTCTTTTTCTGTACCCGCCAGTATAACCAAATCATCTGCGCACATCACTATTGATATTAATAGCTGTTGCAGTTTCCATACTCCAATATTTACTCCTTCCATATCCTCGTTATATTTCTTAGCTATCTGATCCATTAAGGTTATAAATAGTAATGGGCTCAACACCCCTCCTAGACGCACTGCTTTAGTTGTTACAAGTTGTTTTATTGCTCTGAGCAAGGTTTTCTCTACTCTTCTTTTTTTCTAATATCTTCCATATTTTTTCTCTTGAAGTGTTATCAAAATCCGCCTGCAGGTCTACAAGACCCATACATATATTGCGTTCATGTTGTAGGACTTTCTCCGTAATTTGTCGCATACTAAATATTAGGTCTGTTGTTCCTCTGTCTGGTTTGAAGCCACATTGACCATCATTTAACTGGGGTTTGATTATTTTTTTTAGTTTTTTCTCTAATATAATTTCATGTATCTTGCTAACCGTAGTTAGTATTGGTATTGCCATATATATACTACACTTTTTGGTATCACCCTTTTTGTGTATTGCAGCCGTTGTCCAGTCTTTTGGTAACTTACGCTTTGCCATGCCTTGTTAATAATTTTGTGCAACATATTTCTACCTTTCTCTGCCATGCATTTCATCATCTATGCTTTCATTTTATCAATCCCCGCTGCTTTCCCGTTCTTCAGTTTCTTTAAAGCCTCTTCCACTTCCGTTATGGCTATTTCTGGTTCTGGTTCAATTTCTTCGTTTTCATCCTCGTTTACTTCTTCTTCTTTTCCATTAAGTGTATCCTTATAATATTTCTGCCATCTGTCTACTATTGCTGTATTTCTATTGAGTTGGTTTCGATTTTTGTCTTCTATCCATCTGATAGTTTCTCTTTTCCTTCTCCTTATACTCCTTAGGGTTCTGAATAGGAGCTTTGCTGACTGTTTTCCTGCATTTTATTACCGAAATCTTCCCACGATCTTTTCTGTGCTTCTGCTATTTTGTTCTTTATATTTCTTATAGTTCTCCTCATCCTTCTTGTTTAGGAATGTTCTCCAGAGTTGCTTTTTAAGTTTCACTTCAGACTTGATTTCTTTATTCCATCATGGTGTACATTTATGGCTGCGACTGTTTCTCTTTGATTTTTCTTTCTCGTTTTTATGATTTAGTAATTACAGTTTGGTCAAGATTTTCCCATTCCTCTGCCCGTGCCAATTTTAACTGTTGAAGCATCTCCGAACACTAACACGTCATCCCAAAGCATCGCAAACGCGTTCTATCTAAATTTGAATTTTTCGAACAAATTTGAGTAATTTGTAAACAGCTGTTAGTTATTTATTTTTTAAATAATGTAATTCTTTTCTCCTAATAAATATTTTTTTCAGTGTCTCTATAATTATTACTAATGTTTTCCGTATGCGTGATTA